CCAGGGGTATATCATGGATCAAGACCTTGTCAGGGGTTCTGGCTGTCTCTCTTACTCATGGGAAAAATAAGCTTTAAAAAATAAATGAAGAACTGTAAAGAGCCCAACAATGACACAACAGTAACAGAGCTCTGTGACAGGGAGTCACACGGGGTGGTTCCGGGCTAACGTCCAGAGACCTCCCTGAGTATGTTGGGCACACACATGCCCATGATCTGGGGCTGGCTAAGGCTGGGGTGGATCAAGGGTCAAAACTCTGCTGGGCATGATCATCTCTGTCTCTCATGCTCATGGAGGAAAAAACAACAAATCAACATTAGAAAAAGCAGAACTGTAAGAACAGTAGCCAGCATACAAGTAGTGTCCCCTAACGCTGATTGTTCTAAATAAACTGCTCATTTGGTCCTTGTCATACAGGTCTGACATATAAGGAAACCAAGGGTCAGGGGGAGTATGTGCCTTGCCTGTGTCAGGCAGGTCAGAAGATGCAGAGGGAAAGTTCACACCTCAAGAAGGCCTGCCCACATCCCATCCACCATGCTCAGCAGCTTCGCTAAAGGGTTGCCTTCCAGTGGCTCCTTACAGCCGGTGATCCCTCCCATTCCATACGTGTCCTACCACACTTTCCATAGCTCCTTGGTTCACCTGATTGTGGGTTTTCAAGACACTAGGTAGTGGGAGCCCATGGTGGTTAGTGGCACAGAGTGCAAGAGTCCTGTGAAGTAAGGGGAGGGCACAGCAGGAGTAGCCAGAAGCCAAGGACAGCAGCAGCTTGGGACCTGGATACCTTCTGTCTGGGACAGCTCTTGGCAGCAATGCCCTCCAGCAGGATGAGGAGATGAAGACAGACAAGAGGGCCAGGGCCACATAAACAATAGACAGCAGCGACCTATGGGCCTGTAGCACCTTGCCTTGTGTCGAGCATTAAACCCTGGACCCAGAGACCAGGGTTCAATTCAAGCTCCACCACCAGCAACTGATAGCCTTGGGCAGGTCACCTCAGCTTTCAGAGGCCAGTACCCTAGGAAAAAGGAGAGGCATGCCATCTTCTCCTTCTTAACCAAGCAGAGTATGACAAGGATAAAAACAGAAAGTGCATGACACTTCTTTTAAAGCAACCCATATTAATCATTCTGTAATGCATCCATATATCAAAATATCATGTTGTAAAAATATACAATTGTTACTTTTGATTAAGTAAATAAAGCTGAGGTTAAGACAGTCCAAGGATGAATAGTATTATGGATTTCAGAAACCTATTATTTTTGTTTAAAACCTGTTTCCTTGGGACTAGATAGTGACACAGTGAAACTCGACACTCTGCAAGGCTCTACATGGGAGGGATCTGGGTCCACCTCCTTGGACATGCTAGGCACTCATCCTGTTGGGGGTTCCTCTCTCTTTTATAGAATAAATTATTCAAAAATAAATCTGTTTTCTTCCATGCTAAAAAATAAGTAAGTAAACTAAAACAACACATTGAGACAAGGCAAGCCTAATTCTACTGCACAGTCGGCACTGTCTTCTCTCCTAACTGACTTCCAGAATCAAAGTTTAGACATGGCTCCTTTGGAATCTGCTCTTAACCACCCAAGGTGACCACTCACAGGTTGTAATGGAACCTCTCATACCAGGGGCTCACAAAGTTTAGTGGCCTCATTTCTTCAGCAAAACCCCAAGACACAGGCGACACCATTGAGGCTCACAGCCAACAGACTTCATGATTGGGAAATTCTTATTCAAAACATACCCACTCACGCAATTATTCTCACTCTAAGAATTGTACGGCTGACTTAAAAAGAATGCTGCCAGGGAATGAGGTTGGGGAAGAAGAGATGCTTCTTCTAACAGACCCTTTGGTCAACGGCTTGACAGAAAACTTCGTTCTGCAGCTGAGGTTCAGGGCAAAGGTATAACCTGGATCTAAGTTGACGGCATTGAGACCCTAAAGACCAGACTCCCCAGTCTCACCCGGATCCTGAACTTACAGCCTGGTTTCTACCAGAATTGCCACATGCTCATGTCCAGCCAAAGGCACTTTATTTGACCTGCATGAAACCAGAGGCTTTAAATTTTTTTTTAGTTGCTCATTTATTTCACATTAAGCACAGGTTTCCATTTTCTCTTAAACACTTGGAAGCCTGAAACACTAGATCCACATTTTTTTCTGCATGACAATGCCGCAGGTTGAGCCCTCATTGAGACTTACACTCTCCAGTGCCAGACCGAAAGCTAAGTTTCTCCTGCTTTTGTTTCATAAATGGCTTCTACAGGCATGTGAGTTTCTAACTGTGAATGAAAATGAGGCATGGTGGCCAGGGTGAGTGCTTGTTTTGAATTCCTACAGGCCACAGCTGGGAGCCTGGCTATAGCCACTGGTTTATCTGAACTTCTAGCACAGAACAAGGGAACCAGAAGACCCAGGACTAAAGCACCATCAACTAGGCCCAACCCTACCTAACAGCATTTACCTGACTCCTTTTGCCAATCAGCTGATCGGAGGCCTCCTACTTTGAAAGTAGAAGTCCATGTTGCTTGCGAGGTCCTTTGTTAACCTTTCGTAACTCTGAAGACTTAAAAAACAAAATGAGGGGCCAGCAGGTGGTGTGGTGGTTAAGGCTCTGGACTCCTACATGGCTGGCCAGGGTTGAAGTCCCAGACCTGGAGGGCTACAAATCACACCAAGCACATGTGTATCCATGCCCAAAATCCCAAGAAGATAATAGAGGAGAAGGGATTGCATCATGGCCACATCCCCTAGGGGACGGTTTGGTGATTTCTCATTTTCCCGTGCTCTGTCTCTCTCTGGTGAGCACATGCACCCTATGAAAAAGAGAGAGAGATAAAAGGAAATAAAACAAGTGAAAGCCACCTTACACCTTTTCCTCAGAGTTCTGAAGAAATGAACATAATGAATGTGATTTTAAAAAACCCACCCTGGAAATGATAAAAGATGTTGTGGGCATTGATTCTCCAAGGACAGAACCAGTCTTGGGCACAACCATGGAGTGCTTCACCCACTCTAAACCCCACTTGGGAAGGCATTAAACATTTCTACCTTGAGGTGGAAATTAAGTCAGTGAGTTCTTCTCCTAAGGGTATTTGCACCATGAGATAATGAGACCACTCCCTGTTAAAAGCAGTTCAGCTATACAGAGGAAAACAAGTAGGATCCCCTACAAGGGACAGTGAACACAGTTATCCATTGCATATTAAGTTAGCCCTGTTACAGATTAATTTTTAATGCCTAAATAAATGAATCTGTCAACTGGCACTGTGCTAAAAATTCCCACCAATAGACAGATTTTAGGCTTGATTTCCATCCTCTGTAAAATATAAAGATTTTATCTGACATTTAATGTATATAATCACACTTTTATACCTTACCTAAGATTCAGATTCTAACAGAAAGAAGCACTGGCTAACAAGCTTGATGGAGAAAAAGAACAGGAAAGTCCAAGACCTCAAGCAATCATGAAGATATGGGTGAGACATGACAACAATCAGGAGACGAGAGGCACAGAGGTGTAATAAATAGTAATAATTGCTTGTGCCATCTCTGCTTCTGGAAATGTCTAAATACCATAGATAAGTATATTCCTCCCCTGGTCTCTACCTTTCTTCTCTGTTGCCACAATGTTGGAGAATAAACTTCTGGCCTACTGTGGTGACAGAGAAGAAAGCTGGTGGCAGAGAAGAAAGATAGCTGGTGACAGAGAAGATCTGGTGGCTTATTAAAGGGTTGGCTCCGCTTTCAGTAAAAAGGAGGTGTGGAAAACAACATAAAGCAACCACTGCAATTCCTGTACTAAATGCAACAGAATGTCCCATTTTCTTTTCATCTTCCCTATGGAAAGGCACATGTATATACACACACACACACATACACACACACACACACACACACACACACACAAACACACACACACACACAAAAGGTAATACCTCACCCCAAGAAAGATTAACATATTTTTCAAAAACTGAAATTAAGGTCTAATCATTTTGGCCTTATATAAGATGGTGCATGTAGCCTATTTCAAATCAAATCACATCCAAAGAGAAGAGCCCATATTTCGCATTCAAATTGCTATGTAACTTGCATACAGAGAATTATTATAATGGCAGCCTTGTCATCTCCTGGTAACCAAATCAGCTATCTTCTATAAAGATTGCATGATAGGAAACTGTAAAAATATTTATTGTTTTCAGTTTTCATAAGGGGATGGGAAAAATGGATTCGGAGTGTAGGCAATGTCTCTCACAAAGACAAAACCGTCAAAGACACATTTTAACATGAAACTGTGTCCTCCAGTTTCTATAGCCGAATGTCAATTGTACCAGAAAACCTAAAGTGAATAGTTTTATGTATGGAATTGAGATGCAAAGGGAAAAGTAATTAATACTTTACTTTTTTAAAGAGGGAATTTTGCTATAGGGCATGTGTGCTCACTGGAGAGACAGAGAGAGAGAAAGTGAGAAATCATCCCCAAAGGGAATGGCTACACCACAATCCCTTCTCCATTCTCCTCTCAGGATTTTGGGTGCACAGGCACACATGTCTAGCCTGAGTTTCAAACCTCTGGGTCTGGGACTCGAAGCATGGTTGGCCATGTGGGAGTCCACCACCTTAAACATTATGCCACCTGCTGGCCCCCAAATAAGTAATTCTTATTATAATAACTTTGAATGGACACAGAACAACAGATGTAAACACATAGACTGGATTATAATGCTAGAGAAATAAGCCTATTTCTCTTTAGAAAAGAAGACATCTTGCTTTAGAAATCAAAAGACCTAAGGAGAGGAACATAGAATCCAGTACCAGCTAAACAAATTGTAGTCTCTTCATCATGCACAGTGCTCCTCTTGGCCAAGTGATTTGTATTCCTGCCATGAGTTCTTCTGGTCTACCAAAATGTTGTGTAGTTTTCTTCAACCCAACCAATCCCCACCCCCAGTCCCCATACCCCTGTGATGTGAAGGAAGAAGGAGGACCTTACCACTTCTGGGAGTAGCCTCGTTGAGAGATCATGGATGGCTTTGACCACAATACATATGGATGACAGAAGGAATATCACCCCCAGGATGACGCAGGCTCTGCAAAAAAAAAATTAAGAATAACAAAACACTGAGAATCTTAATTGGGAGAACTCTACTCTTCAAAAGATGGGTGCACACACACCCATGATTAACAATGATAAAGATACAACCTGGGAACTGGATCAAGGTCATTTGCCACACCCTCACCTCTAGCATGTCCATCCATAGTCTCAGGACTGATACCAATACATCTCCAGGAGGACAGGGTTTTTGTTTTGTTTTTGTTTTTAATTTATTTATGATTATCATAATCTTGTTTATATTATATTGAATCACACATAACTTTACAGCGTATTACGTTTCTTTTTCCAAAAGGAATACCATTCATATCAGTCAGTACAAAGACATTAAAATCCCCATCATCATGATCCAATAGCTTTTAGGTTTTCTTCCAGATTATTATTATTCCAATTATTTTTAAACATTCCATTACTATTTATCATTTTGCTTGTAAAAAGGCTTTACCCAACATGAAACACTTCTCAGACCTCTCCAGTTGAGAATACTATACACATCATCATCAACAGGTAGGACAGAGTTTTATCAACAAAAGTAGCCTCAATGGAAAAAGTTCACCCTTCCACATGATTTCAGTATCCCACGAATGTGTTGTGGAAGAGTCTTTGAGGCCATGATATCCATCTCCCTCACCTGGCAAGTACGATGTTTCATTCCTTCTCAAGCTAGAAAGCACGATGTTTGATATCAAAGAGTGGGGGCTCTGACATGAGACATCCCAAGCACTACCATTTAACTTCTTGCATATATTGGTCAAGGAACTAAACCTATCTTAGCTTGTATTTCCTCTCCTTTAAATTGGGAATAATATTCCCCAACCTGAAGCTGAAAAGTGATGATGCACAAAAGATTAAAAGTAATTCATTAATGTTGGTTTAAACAGAGGAAAAGTCTACCCTGGATGTCTCCTTCATATATGATATGACAGACACCTTTAGACTTGCCCAAAGAAAAAGGCTGAATGATTTGGTCAGGACAAGAGATAGAGTGCTTATAGTAAAATGGGCAGATTCAAAACCAAATGAACAAAAGCAACAAGTAGAGAAAGGAAGGATGAGGTCAACCAAGACTCCCAGCACAGGAAGAGGCAGGAGCATGTCAGGGATGAGGCCAAGGGTAAGGCCATAGGAGACACAGCCGGGAATGTCGGGTAGGGGATGGCAAAGCTCATAGGACTTTGAGTAACTCTCAGGAGGAAGAATGAAAACAGATGCAGGAAATAATTATACTAATACAAGGGTCAAAATGCTAAATGACAATGAAAAGAGAAAAAAGAAAATGACTACAGTTAGCTCTAGATGATTCGTTCCTGCCCCGCCTGATGTGTCTGTCATCTGACAACCACCTTGGCCCTCTTCTTACAGCTATTAGATAAAATCACTTTTCATTCTCCACCTTGGATTCCCATCTCTGGACTGACAGCATGGGCCCTAATTGCATACCTAACTTTGAAGTGGCCCCTATTTATAATCCTAAGAAACCTGCAGACAGACATGTTCCCTCAAGTTTAAAGTTAGGAATAGAAGCAGGTAAACAGGTTTCTAATCCATGCTCTGGTTGCATTTTCTTCATTCAGAAACACAGACGTAACAAAGGAATCACCACACGTTGGTGCAAACACATACCAGAAGGTAGAAAAAGAGGGAACATAGTGAGTGGGCTGGGATCTTGGTACAGACTTGAGAAAAAGCATGATCTGCTATGGTGCCACACGTCCTCACCAGGCGCTTTATGGGGAAACACACTCAAAAAAGAGACGAGATCATTCAGGCGCTCAGTGCATGCTGATGCAGCTGGTGAGGCAGTGCACTGAGGCTGGAAACCATGGTCCTAGCAAGGCAAATAGGCACAAATGTGGTCACTGAAGACAGGGCATCATGGAGGAGAGGTTACCTCTAAAGGGCCTGTGAGTGACTGCATGCTGGAGCAGGAGCAGAGATTGCCAGGGCTAGAGAGTAAATGCTCTCAAAGCAACTGGCTCCTTAGTACCAGCTGTGCCCACCAAGAACCAGCTGTGCTCAGTGCCGGGAGTAACCATTTCCACCTGTGAGCAAATGAGTCCATTACAGGAAAACTGCCTGATGTCAGGATAGACCTCCAAGATGAGTTTTGCAATGTGTTTTTTTGTTTGTTTTCCTCTCCATGCACCAATCTCCTGAATTACTCCCAGAGACTCTCTTTTTTATTTATTCTTTCTGGTAAATTTCACCACCAACTCTCAACCTAACAACACATTGCACTCACCTGGGAACTTTGGGAGGGTACGATAGTGTAGTGGTCATGCAACTGGACCCACAAGGGAGGGTCCCAGGTTCAAATCCCAAGACTTCCTTGCACATACCATAGCTGGATGAAGGTGGATTGCACATGAAGACCCTATTGAGGGTTCTATCTGTCTGTCTCTCTCATGGAAGGAGTAAATAAACTTTAAAAACAAATAAACAAGGTTTTCTGGGACCACTCCAGTTTAATTATCATCAGAGCCTCTAGGGGTGAAGCTGAGCCTCTGCTTTTGTTTAAAAGCTCCCAGGCAAGTCTAATGTGCACCTGCTGTAGATGCAGGTGAGGTCTGTCTCTAGGGAGGCTCAGCTATGGGCAAGAAGCACCAGTTCTACAACACAGGCAAGGAGGAACCACCATACAGAGGTGAGGAAAGGATGAGCTCCTGGGGCACCTGGCACTCTCCTGCTTTCAGATCAGCTTTCTCTCCCTAAAAATAAGGGCAACCACCACAGGCATTCTAGACTTTCTTTAGGCAATTAGCCACTGTGACCTCCAACTCCATTCTCCTTTGAGGGAAGGAAGGAATAAATGTTTGCACTTCCTCCTGGCAGGAACAGGAGTGATGGGAGTGTTCCTCTCACCAGAGCCCCACAGAGACTCCAGAAAGCACAAAAGGTGGATTTGAGTTTTGTTTACATTACTGAAAGAGATAAGCACATAGGATACAAAGACCTCAATATGTAATTTTCTTTTTATGTATCTTTAATCAAAACCACCAACAAATCCCATAGGGGCAAGAAGCACATTTTGTATTTCTATGTCTACAGGAGCATGTACTAGGTGCTCCACATACATCTACAGAGTAGATATAATCATCAACTGCTGAATGAATTGTTGACTTGCAGGCTCTCCCTACAGAGTCCAAGGAGGCACCTACCACTGGCTAATGGGGATAGTAGGAAGAAAGAGACTCCCAATGCTTCAGTCAAATGCCCATGAAATAGCCCCCATGTAAAGAAACTCTGAGATACAATGAAAAATCAAAAGAAATCTGTGAGTTGGTTTATTAACGTTGAATTTCACAGAACTGTAATTCTATTTTCTTTACAGATATACCCATGAATATGCTCAAAAATCTTATAAAACCCTACTTTCATCTTGTTTTAAGTGGGTTGTAAATTCAAAACTATAGTCACCCTTCCCTCAGCACTGCTGGGAGCCTGTGTGTCGGAGCTGCTCCAACAGCCTAAGGCAGCTATTATTAGCAGAGGGTGTGATGCTATTTTTTAATGTTTTATTAATAATATATTGTGTTTACACAGCAGCTTTCTCCTCAGGCACTCAGAGTTCTGCACATCAGCTTCATAAATCCCTCTGGAGGCTACTGAGTTTTTGTTTTTCTACTGTTTTATGGATGGGGAGGGGGAAGAGGAATGTTTCCTAAACACAAGTCAAAAAAATGGGGGAATCAAGGATTAACAGGCTTGCTCAAGGTCAGCCAAGGAGTTCGAAGTTCACCCAGAAACAGAATGCAACTCAACTGGCTCACCACCAGTGGCCAAGCATCTGGCCCCTCGAAAGCTCTGAGAATACACATCACATGCTCACACTACCTCCGCCCTGGGACTACAGTGGTCTCCGGGATGTTGTGAAGATTCAGGTCAGAAGCAAACACTGCAAATATGGCTGCTGCTACCTCTGCAAGTGTGAGTGGCTTCCAAATTTAGGGAGTGGAAAAGGGTAACTGCTATCTCAGCACCTGGAGCAGCTGACCTGACACGTGAGGGCACTGAGGAGCCAGGTCACCAGAAAGAACAGACTCCTCTGTCTTTTCCAAATCCCAGAGGAGAACTTTATAAGTCAGAACAAGGTCAATAAGCTACCATCCCTTCACCGTAATCCCCTAGTCAACCCGAACTAAAACCAAATTTAAATTCCCACTGGAACAGTGGTTGTCACAGTGTGGTTCACAGATCAGCAACACCTGTATCACTTAAGAACTTGGTAGACAAGCAGATTTTAGGTCCACTCCAGACTTGCTGAACCAGAAACTTTAGAGAGAGGTCAAGCAATCTAGGTTTTTATAAGCCTTCCAGATGGTTCTGATGCACATTTAAGTTTAAGAACCACTGTATGGGTTGGCTCCATGGCCTGGTGGTTAAGGTGACTGGATCCCACATGGCTCAAGTGTACCTCTTGAGTAATGGCTTAAAAAGCACACTAGGTATGTGTGTGTGTGCACCAAAATTCCTGACAGGAGCAAAAGACGGAGGAGAAGGGATTGTAGTGTGACCATTCCCCATGGGGTAAAGCTTTCTCCTAGTAAGCGCAAGTGCCATTTAGAAAAGTACCACTTCGATAAGTATCATTGCATTAAGAAACACTCAAAGTCTGAAAGAAAGCTAATAAAATGCAAAGAAATGTAAAGCCACTTTTAAGAAATTATTAAAGATATTAAAGCCACCCTTTTCCCCATTCTACTAAAGACTGCAAATCCGTAATTATGCACAGCATTGTAAACCTCTGAATGACCTAGAAATAATCAATTTTGACTTCTGAAATTATAAAGGCAAAATTTACTGATAGACATACCCAAAATGATGTCAGATTGAAAGTTTGGCTTCTTGTCAATTTTAGGTTAAGAATCCGATGGCATACATTAATAAAGCTGAGTCCTCTTATACTGATTCAAGGTACTACTCATCAGGTCAAAAAGCCAAGAAAGAGAAACATCTCTAATCACCCTCTAACTTACA